CTAGTTAACATAAATTAAACCATAATCTAATGTGAAAGCGCAATAATTGCAACTCCTCATGGTAGCTGAATTTCGTCGGAAACCTTATGGTCAGTAATATTATAAAAAAAAAAAACAGACTTTTTCACTGTAACATCTGAAAAATGGACCAAATAAAAAGCTGCACAATAAATTAGGCTGCGCCTATTGCTTTCATCCCATAAACCTTTACAATTCTGTATTTTTTACGGAAAATCAACAAAAACTGACCATCATTGGAAAACTGTTGTTTTGGAATTGTGTTTTCCTCCTCTCTCGCCTCTCCTCTCTTTCCCGTGCAAAAACTAATGTAACCGTAGCGCTTTGGCTGCTTTTTATCGTTTATGAAAAACTTGAAAATTTTAGGATAAAAGAGTGCTAAATTTAGGTGAGAACTAAGGCTAAAGTGTTCCATAACGCTCGCTAAAAGGCCCAAATCGGAAGTCAAATTGAGTGAAAAAAGAAAATGGCGTATAACAAATGCTGAGATTTTGCTGTCTATTCTTGAGCTGGTTGAAAAATTCACGATTTCCCTAGATGCATGATCTCAGAATGAGCAATTTTGATAATTCTCCAACTGTTCACATGCATTTATACATAAATACACCACATGCATACACGTACACCATACACATGTACGTACACATGCACACACACATACATCATGCACAGTGGAGCACACACCTACACACTTAGTGTGCAGTTTGGTCCAGAAATGCTTCTTTTGCTGCAGTGGACCTCCGGGAATGGGTGATTGCAGGCGAAAGACAAGGTAGCACTGTGTTCTGCGATTCATGCAGCAATCGATGCTGGTTATCGGTTATTCGACACAGCTTATCTCTATCAGACTGAGGAGGGTGTTGGTGAAGGTCTGGCGCAGTGTATCAAGCATGGAAAAATCCGGCGCGAAGATATCTTCGTCACCACAAAAGTAGCTTTCTGCCATTTCAGACCGATTTTTTACTACGGTTTTTCCTTGATTTCCTTGTTTTATTTTTTTTAATTTTTTATTGGACATGTGAATCAAATCGTATCAGTTATTTTCAAATCTTACACCAACGATTTTTGTTATTGTTAATGAAATTACCAGTGAAAGATTATCAGAAGATCTGATAAATTCGTCATGCATTGCTCCGTTTGAAGGCCACGGATTGGATTACAGTAGCCTCTGGAGCCCGATTGCGTTCAGTGTGATAAGCTGTACAAATCTGTGCATTGAGTGCTCAGCGGAATCATTACTCAGTCAAAAACTAGGCAATTTCTTCCAGAAAATATTTGATTCTATTTGGATTTACTTACCAGACATTTTTTTTT